CCTGAAGTTACCTGTATGTTTTTCTTTGTATCCCAAACAATTCTTCTGGCAGTTGTGGCTGAAATCTTTCTTGGTCTACCTGACCTTGGCTTGGTATCAAGAGATCCCTGAATTTTCCACTTATTAATAAGTGATTAAACAGTACTCACTGGCATTTTCAAGGCTTTGGACAACTTTTTATATCCTTTTTCATCTTTATAAAGTTCCATTACCTTATTACGCAGGTCTTTTGAAAGTTCTTTTTTGCTTCCCATGGCTCAGTATCTATCCTGCTCAGTGTATCCACGTGAGAGCTAACAATCTCATTTACTATTTATACACAGACACTAATTGCAATTTAAAAAGCCACAGGTGTGGGAAATTAACCTTTAATTGAAATTTTAACCTGCATGTGTCACCTTGTTTGTCTGTAACAAGGTCAAACATTCAAGGGCACAGGCCCGGACTGGCCATCGGGGATTTCACCGGCCAGTTAACGCAGGACCGACGCTCAGTGAGCGCAGCCCAAACATGTCACAAAGTCTATTGATGGGCCAGTGAAGGAGATTAGAAATCTCCTTCACAGGCCCATTGCACAGAGAAACAGAGTGGCGCAGGGAGCAGCTGAATTCATCCTGGAGCAGCGCAGTTCTGTGCTCTGTTCCCGCGAGAGTAGGTTACTGAGAACGTTGCCGCGGGTTACCATGGCATCGCTCTGAGTAATGTTGGAGCTCCTCAGAGGAAGCAACCAGAGAAGGCACCCTAATCGACCACCAGGATACACCTCCTCCCTTGGCAAAAGGTAACAGAAGGGAGGGGGGAACAAATGTAGTATTTGTTTTTTTAAAATAATTATTTAATTTTGCAAAAATCATTTAAGTACATTTAATATCCCCTCCAGCACCCTGAAGCATTAAACAATACAAGCTCTGCACACACAAACAGCCCCTGTACATACACACTAAAGGCCCATACACACACAAAACAGCCCCTCTACACACAACACTAAAGCCCCCACACACACAACAGCCCCTGTACATACACACTAAAGCACCCCCCCACACACAAAAGACATCCCCTGTACATGCACACTAGAGCCCCATATGCACACACACACATACACACACACAAAACACCCCCTGTACATACACACTAAAGCCCCCTACACACACTCACACACATACACACACACACAAACAGCCCCTGTTCATACACACTAAAGTCCTCCCCACACACACACACAACAGTCCCTGTACATCCACACTAAGGCCCCATACACACACACTCAGACACACACACACACACAAAACATCCCCTGTACATAGATACTAGAGCCCAATACACACACACACACAAAACAGCCACTGTACATACACATTAAAGCCACATACATACACACAAAACACCCCCTGTACATACACACTAAAGCCCCCTATACACACACACACACACACACAAAACACCCCCTGTACATACACTAAAGCCACATACACACACACACACAAACACCCCCTGTACAAACACACTAAAGCCCCCTACACACACACACACACACGCACACACAAACAGCCCCTGTTCATACACACTAAAGTCCCCCCCACACACACACACAACAGTCCCTGTACATACACACTAAGGCCCCATACACACACACTCAGACACACACACAAAACATCCCCTGTACATAGATACTAGAGCCCAATACACACACACACACACACACACACAAAACAGCCACTGTACATACACATTAAAGCCACATACATACACACAAAACAGCCCCTGTGCATACACACTAAAGCCACACACACTAAAGCCCCATGTAGTGTACACACACAGTACTACAGCCTACATTAATAAACATGCGTGCTACAGCCCATATATATGCATATGTAACCCCCTAAATACATGTACATGCATACTACAGCCCCTATACAAATATATGCACACTACAGCCACTAGATGTGCACACACCATCTAAACACACCCTACACCCCATAGTCAAATGCATACACTACATATTCCTGACACACAAACACTCTCTACAGCCCCTAGAAGCATACACACACTGAATTCCCTATACACAAACTTAAAACAGCCCCTATATTTATATTATTATTATTATATTTAAATAGTGCCAACAAATACCATAGCACTTTACAATGGGTGGACTAATAAACATGTAATTGTAACCAGACAAGTTTGACGCACAGAAACAGAGGGGTTGAGGGCCCTGCTTGAGCATGAGCTTACATGCTAGAGAGAGTGGGGAAAACCGACAAAAAAAGGTATTGGAAGTAGATTGGTAGAATAGTATTCAATGAAGACGTAGTGTTTTTTTTTTTTTTTTTAATGACAGTTACAGGAGATAAATCAGTTGGGAGCCATTATTGATATGCTTTTGTGAAGAAATTAGTTTTTAATGATTTTTTAAAGGAGTGGAAACTGGGTGAGCGTCTAACGGAAAAGGGAAGTTCCACAGGATCAGAGGATAGACGTAGGTCTTCGCAGGTCCCTAGACGGGACATACTTGTGTATTAGGGAGGATAGATAGGTGGGAGCAGCATTACGTAGAGATTTGAAAGCAAGAACCAGAATTTTATATTGAGCCCCATATTTTTTTTCAGGAAGACAGTGCAGGGACTGACAGAGGGGTGAGGTGTGGGAGGTGCGGGCAGACAGGAAGATGAGCTTCGCCACCTCATTCATTATAGACTGCAATGGGGAAAGTTGAGAGCAAAGATTTATGCTTTAATAATTACATGACAGGTAGTATTAGGTTTAATTTGCGCGGTCACCATATCTCGCTGGTAATCCACTAAGTGGGTTTACTGTTGATTGATTTGGCAACCCATTAATGGGTCTACAATACACCCAGTTTCTGTTTATATCACGCAGGTGATTAATACCCTTTATTAATACCCTTTAATTTGACTAATCCCCTACAAGAGTTTCTCTCTGAGTTTTTGAGTTTTCAGGTATTCAAATATTCCATTTAGTTCACGTTCACATCAAATATAAAGGTCTCGCTCTGCCTTCATTACAACTACCGTATACAATTCAAAACCATCAACATAAACTAGGGACTTGTCTCTGTACGCCTGACCCTCGCAAGGTCCCCCATACGCTTTCGTACATACGCTACACAAATTCGATATTAAATACATCTTACTAAGTTCATTTATGTTTCAGGATATCCAAAGGGATTTTAACTTTCTGTCATGTTATCTGTTTTTCTGTCTAGAAGTTTTTCATCAGTAGGCATATTAGGGTACATACAATTTGCATCCCAAACTTATCAGGTAAACAATTAGCATGTATTTATCATAGTAACACATGTCAACTGTAAGTGTTAGCCACTATCTGAGTCTCCTCTTCATGTTCCAATCATAAAGAGCACATGTTTCCCATCCTTTAGTCACTATATTTCCCCTCTATTCCAGTTCACATCACAGTCGGTGGTTTCATCAGGTGCCATTCTCCAGTCCTTCTATCTGATCCTATTCAGTTCACTTACGCACATACATTTACGCTCATTCACAAAAGAGTCAAGCCCCGTCTTGGGAAAGAGAACTGGCTTTTAGGGATAGGAGCTGTCCTTAGTCAAAATAATTAAAATATTGGTATAGCGAGGCCACCTCCCCACCTCATCATGGAGATTTTCGCTCAACGGCCTAACTCATAGCGCCTTGCATACCCTTCTGCAGGGTCATAGTCAAGGCCACACATGTCACTGCCACACGTATTGACTCTCCATCACAAAGAGGCCAACACCCCACGACAACGCTTCGTGGCCACGAGCCCACATTGCCCAAATCATAAGTAGAGCCTCTCACAGCCACCTGGCAACTCACAGGGTCTCACCTGTCACTGGGTAGTACATTTCTTCGCCTATCGGCACTATTAGCAACCCAGTTCTACATAAGGGATATTAACAAACTGCATCAAAGTTTTTGCATTAATTTACAAGTTGTTTCAGCAATAGTTCCAGGTGAAGTCCTAGGTGATGTTCTATCTCTAAACGACACTCCTACCTTGTCAGTCCAGGTCCCCCAGCAGAACCTCTTGTCCCTGTCACTCCCAAAGCCCTGAGGTCTGCACCTTTCTTAAATTTGGCAGTCAAACTACAGTCACAGAGGCACCATCTCCCCCGGCCACAGCTGGAAAGGCTGTATATACCCTGAACAAGCTGGTCACTAGAGTTACTCATGCAAGTAATCATGTTACCACCATAGTAATCAAATGGAAGCTGCTGCTTATCTAACTGTTTGTTATGCAAAACCGTTAGTGGATTCATTCGGGCAAATTTCACTGCTAGTACAAATTCAGACTATTTCTGCCATTCATAGCATCTCAGCGATGCCACTTTCCACCTACGGTATTAAGTCCTCCATAGGCCATATCGATCTTTACCATACATGGTTTTAGTTATTTTACTTAAACGGTTGCTGGCATTGCTCGACTTCCAATACACCTTATGCACGTTTACAATAACGCAGAACTTATCTGTCCACATTTCACATTTCTACCTAATCACTTTCATCATATGTTCTCGTTGTCATCATTCTATTACCTTCACAATTTCTGTTTTCATCTATAACTACTCTCCTGACTCTCAACCTTTACCATTCTCTGTTAAATATTCCATACCACTGGCCTCGTTTGATTCATCGCTTGATATGTAAATCAATTATCTGTCTCCAGGCTAGCCCAAATTTACATTAGGCCAACTCGGGCCTACGTATTGAGCACTTACCTGCCAACAACTATGGCCACGTCACAAGTTTCATAATTCACATCATGACTATAATTTTTATATGACATATTGCTATGAGATTTAATTTCACGTTACACGCTCTTAAGTACATACATGACACCTGGCTAATTGTAGTCGCTTATACTAATCTTCCCTTTTCAACAGTGTTACCTCAGGCAACTACTGCATTAACCCCTAAATTACTTGCAAGGTATTTGTTGGTTTTTCACTCATATGTTTACATCAATTTTACCTTAGGCCTCGTATGGCTCACATGCTCGGCAGACTCCAGCCTCTCAATGTACAAAGTATTCCCCCTTCATTTTATAAGGTCCTCCAAATTGGACCATTAGTGGTTTCCCAACAAAACGCTGTCACCAAGTATCGCCGTTTAAATACTATTCGTGTTATAGGTAAGTGGTCCTTCATTGCATCTATACATTTATTTTGACAGGTTAGTTTCAATCGTAAGGTTTCACTCTGCCTTATCACTTCTATCAGACACGCACTTATAAAACCCACAGGTTACTCGCCAAAGTCACCCTTATACACAGGGTGTCAAGAGGCCAACCTCTTTATACTTGACCCACACATGGTCCATCCCATGTATACCTTTAACCGTTTTCATCAGTTTGGGATTCATGCTCATTCATGCTCTTTGTCTACGTTTGCTGTCTAAGAGGAATTCACTTCTCTCACATTGCCTGCTACATTATGTAGAAGTACATCATCTGTCCCCCCTAATCTTCACAGGTATACTGTATTCTCGTATGTTTTTTCTCAGTTTTTATATATATGTATATATATGTATCAGATTTTACATATAAGATATTACTCATGGGTTACAGTCAGGCTCTTCCCTCACAAGCAAAATCTGTGCACCATCTACTACTGAGGGTAAGTGGAGTCACATCCTTCTTTCCACTTTCTCTATTATCTATTCACGCTTCATGGTAATCTGGTTGTCCCATCTCTGTAGGTGTGTACTTTACAGGTCTGCTCTTAGAAACCTTCTTGTTTACCAAGAGATGTATGTTAATCATTACAGGCAAATTCGACAAGTATCAAGCCCCGTACGAGGACAGAGAACTAACCCTTAGGTTTAAGCGCTGGTCCACGAGGGGGGATAACATCACAGCAGATGCACTCAACGTCATCCTGATCTCAACGTCAACAATTAATAACTACACCCACCATCAACACGTCCGACCAAATTCCTGGCACTTAGAGAGCTGGTTAAGGTTTATATTATTCGCACAGTCACTATTCCGTCACACTCATTCCATGAAAACCAAAACACTCATGTCATGGTATTATTGCTCGCAGTATTACAACAGGGAGCAGGGGCCTGCTTAAATTATCTTGCAACACATGCATAAAAAGCTCCACAATCCCTCATAACTGGCAAGTCTTTGAAAAGCCTTCACGTTTATATAGTCAGAGCATGTACCTGCCACTCAGCACCTACATCGGCAATGCTGCACCTACCGAACGGTAATATGGTAAATCCGAAACAAGTTATTGCATTGTGATAATCTCTTCTCTCGCCGAGTTTTTCACCACATATCCATGCGTTCCTCGAATCCAAACATAGTTAGGAAACTAAAGTTAATAGACTTAGTAACACAAACACCTCACTACTTTTCCCAATAAAACATCCTGCATTTCCTCATAACTCATTACAACAATCTCCATAGGCAGCACAAATAGACCATTCTCTTTAGTCCATTAGCCTGCTCATAAACCGCACATATTCAGAAGCCTTTCCGATGTATCGGATACAAAACCATTCAATAGTAAAGCTATCACAGTTATTTAAGTAGCAATTTACATTGACTTAAATGGTTTCTCGAGAAATCACAGTGCTACACAAACTCTTACCTTGTCAAACACATCACCCCCTACATTCTCACCCTTAAAGATTTCCAAGCTAACCAGGTCAACCATCCAACCATATCACTATTCCCGACAAATGGCAATTAAGACCCCTTTTAATACCAGATACATGCATACCCACATGCAACAGCTTCCACCTATCTCTGTTGCAGTCACTTCACAGGCACTTATCCAATCCACATCATTATATTGAATAGATGGTATTCCCTATATTCAATACTTAGATTGCTGAAAAAGAACTCAGGGAATCATTTGAGTTTAACTTTGTAAGCATGCTTAAAGTGTGTTCTCACCAATACCTTTTTGGCCCTCTTTATGCAGGCCTACCCGTACGTTGGTATTGGCACACCACTACCAACTTACCACCCCTTCCACTGTCACGTTTACTTTAAAGTTCCGACCACAAGTAGTAGGGGCAGCACAAAACCAGGATACACCACTGTGAATAGGTAGAGTCTGAGCTAAAATTATAGCAATGTAATATTTCTGAACCAACAGTACACCCATGACACCCTCCTTCAAACTGAAGTCCATCCTAACTAATGAGATTTGTGGAGGCCTACATTTCCAAATGTGTGAGTTTTTAATAAAGCTCTTGGTTTTACTAGCAGGTTTCATATACACATCACATTGCAGTTGTGAATGTACTGTGTATGTGCTAATGTATAAAAATACTGCTGAATTATTTTGCATATCCAAAATACAGCAATATTCCCACATTCAATAATGTGTAACACAGTGATTACCAAACTTTTTAAGTTTAAGCCGCCCTTAATATTTCAGTATTTTTCCAAGGCACCCCGAGTCAAAATTTCTAGGTTGTATATATGCAGCATTTAATGGCGCCATAGTGTGATGTACACTGTTGGTGTTTGAAGGAATGCTTGTACACATTTATTGTGTTTAAATACAGGGGTCTGTATGTAATGTTTGCATTTGATTGCAGGGGTGTGTCTGAATATAATGTTCACTTTTAAATATGGATGTACATTTGTGTACAGTATTTGTGTTTTAGTGAAGTGATATGTTTGTATATATTTTTTTCGAGTTTGAATGCAGAGGTGTGTATGTAATATTTGTGTTAGATTGCAGGAGTGTGTTTGTATGTTGTGCTGGTGTTTGTATCCCGATTGCTATGTGATCCAATACGCAAAACTATATTAACACAAACAACGTCTATAGACCATAGAATGGCTGGACGTAACGTAAAAGAGAATGGTCAAATAACAAGCCAAAGTTGGGGATACAGAATGAGACAATACGAAAAAACTAGCCAAGGGTCAGGACACTAGAAGTAGGGAAAGTCAATCCCTCTGCATTGTGACAGCACCCCCCACTCGAAGACCGCCCACCGGGAGGGCTGGACCAAGTTTGAGAGGAAACTTGGCATGGAAAGATCGCAGAAGACAACCAGCATGAACCTCAGTCGCAGGAACCCAAGACCTTTCCTCTGGACCATATCCCCTTCAGCCAACTAAATATTGAAGAGAACCACGGGAAAACCTGGAATCAACAACAGAACTGACTTTGTACTCCTCTTGACCGTCAACAACCACAGGAGGAGGAGGAACCGAAGGAGTAGTGTACTTATTTCAAACCAAAGGTTTAAGCGAGGAGACATGGAAGGTATTTGGAATATGAAGATTAGCAGGAAGGGCAAGAGAGTAAGAAACAGGGTTGATCTTGCGAAGGACAGGACAAGGGCCTTAGTATCTGGGTGCAAACTTCATAGAGGGTACCTTCAATCTGATATGTCGTGAAGAAAGCCAAACTTTGTCACCAACCTGGTACACACGCCTCTTGTCAGCCTGATATTTAAAACGATCAGCAACAACTTTTAAAGCATCATGAACCTGAGTCCGAGTGTCATGTATGAGATTCAAATGAAAATCCAAAGAAGGAATGGCAGTATTGGAAAATGCAATAGGCAAGACAGTAGGATGCCAACCATTAGAACAAAGAATGGACTTAGACCTGAGGAATCATGAGTGGTATTGTTCGTAGAAAACTCAGCCCATGGCAACTAATCAAATTAGTTCTCATGCGTGCTATTAATGAAACAACGTAAGTATTGTTCCAGGGGCTGGTTAGCTCTTTCAGCTGCACCGTTAGTCTGTGGATGATAGGATGGATGATAGGATGAAGAGAACGATAACTCTATACCCAATTGTTTGCTGAAAGATCTCCAAAACCTAGATATAAATTGAGAATCCCTGTCAGACACAATATTAAGTGAAATACCATGTAACCTGAATATCTCTTTTATGAATATGTGTATGAGTTCTTGGGCGGTAGGCAGCTTCTTATGTGGAATGAAATGCGCTATCTTAGAGAACCGGTCAATGACCATTAGTATGGTGTTAAAACTTTTAGAGACTGGAAGTTCGACAATAAAGTCCATAGCTATGTCAGACCATGGAACATGGGGTATAGGAAGTGGTTGTAGAAAATCACATTGCTGTCTGTGTGGAACTTTGGAAACAACACAAACAGTGCATGCTGTAACATACTCTCTTATATCCTTTTTAAGGGAAGGCCACCAAAACGTTCTGGTGAAAGCAGATATCACCAAGGATGCCCTGCTTTTACATTGTCATGAATTACCCTCAATATTAATTTTCTCTCCTTAAGTGGTATGTACAATTTACCCTGAGATTTGTCGCTGGGAGCCTTTCCTGCGCTGCCATAATGGTACTGAGGAGAGGAGAGGACAACGTAAGAACAGTACAGGCAATAATGCATTCAGGAGGTATAATAGGAGAAATCTCTTGCTTCTGTTCTTCCTCGGAATCATATTGCCTAGATAGGGTGTCAGCTTTGATGTTTCTTGTGCCTGGTCTGTATGAAATCACAAAATTGAAACATGACAAGAACAGAGACCATCTGGCTTGTCTGAAAGACAATCTCTTGGCTTCACCTATGTAAGCCAGATTCTTGTGATCAGTGAAGATCAAAAGTGGATCTTTAAAACCCTCCAAAAGATGTTGCCATTCTTTTAAGGCCAGGATAATGGCTAACAGTTCTCTGTTGCCTATATCATAGTTTCTTTCTGCTGGCGACAGCTTTCTGGAGAAAAACCCACACGGGTGTAAAGGGGTGTCCTGTCTTTCCCTCTGAGATAGAACAGAAACTTCCCCACTTTCTGATGCATCTACCTCTAGTATAAAAGGTGTACTGGTATCAGGGTGCTCTAGTATGGGAGCAGAAGCAAACAAGGTATTGAGATTATCAAATGCTTCTTTAGCTTCCTGTGACCATATGTGACAGTTTACACCCTTACGAGTTAGGTTAGTAATGGGGGCTATAATAGTAGAGAACCCCTTTATGAACCTACGATAATAATTGGCAAAGCCTATAAAACGCTGAATAGCTTTCTGTCCATTGGGTAGGGGCCAGTGCAGAACTGACTCAAGATTTCGTAGATCCATTTGGAAACCAGAAGCAGAAATCACATAACCTAGGAACTGAATCTCTGTCTGATCAAGTAGGCACTTTTCAAGTTTACAGTATAACCCATTTTTTAGTAGTGATGAGTGGAGAGATCAGAACATTATATGAGTATAACTTTGAGATACACCAATACAAATGAATAAATGGATTCTCTAAGTACATTGTTTATAATATCCTGAAATACGACTGGGGCAATTACATAAGCCAAAAGGCATGGCTAAATAGTCGAAAGGCCCATTTCTAGTATTGAAAGCTTTTTTCCACTCATGTCCTTACTTTATCCTCACCAAATTATACGCCCTTCTAAGGTCAAGTTTGGTAAAACATTTGGCACCTTGGAGTCTGTCAAATAATTCAGAAATGAGCGGTATAGGATAGGCATTTTTCACAGTGATCTTATTCAATGCCCTATAGTCGATATAGGGACGTAGATCTTCTTTTTTAGATACAAACAAGAAACCAGCACCGGCTGGAGAAGATCTGTATATGTGACCTTTAGACAAGGACTCGTTTATGTATTCCTCCATGATTTTGCTTTCTTAAGGGGGTAAGGTATATACACTATCCGTAGGGGGTATAATACCAGGAAGCAAATCAATGGAGCCATCGTAAGACCTGTGAGGAGGTAAGGCATCATTGTGTACTTTGTTAAACAATTATTTAACCTCCAAATAGGGCACAGGAACCTCAGTAAAAAGAGGAGCAGTAGTAGGTACATTAACCATGCCCAATCTCTTAGAAATGGGTTGAATACACTTAAGTCTACATTCACCACTCCATTCTAGAATCTCACCCTTAATCCAATCAATACGCGGATTGTGCTTGAAAGGCCATGGAAAACCAAGTATTATGGGACAAGAAGGAGATGAAATAACTTGGAAGGTGATAAGTTTCTTGTATAAAGCCCCTACTGTTAAGGTAAGAGGTAAGGTTTCCTTTGTGATCAAAGGTTGGGCAGTGGTCTACCATCTATGGCCTCAACGGCCAAAGGTGTGGTTCTTTCTTTGAGTGGCACTACATGGTTGGTAACAAACAGTTGGTCTATAAAGATTTCAGCTGCACCAGAATCAACCAAAGCATCACACGAGAAATTAACATTATTGCTTTTGGCAAAAACAAAAAGCATAAACCTATTATGAGGCATCCCAGGGG